TAAATTAGTCTGACAGGATTTATTTTTGATAAATCCATGCTGGCTTCTATTAATCACTGCATTTTCTTCAAGAGGGTTGCAGATGAATTTTTTAATAATTTGCTTCAGAATTTTTCCAGGGATTGATGTCAGACTAACTTCTCTGTAATTCCCAGGTTCTTCTTTTTTCCCTTTTCTGAGGTTAGGGATAACATTAGCCCTTCTCCAGTCGTCTGGCACTTCTGTTTTCCAAGATTTATCGAAGATGATAGCCAGTGGTTCTGAGAGTTCCTCCACTAGCTCTTTTATGACTCTGGGATGGAGTTCATTGGGCCCTGGAGATTTGAAAGTGTTTATCCCACCTAGGTATTCCTTGGCCATTTGTCTGTCAATCTTGGGCTGCCGTCTCTCACTTCCAGCTTGAACTTCCTCTTGATTGCAGATTTCCTTGTGGGAGAAGACTGAGGCGAAGTAGGAATTGAGCACTTCTATCTTTCCTTTGTCATCTGTTACTACTCTTCCATCCACTTTAACTAGTTAGACACCCTTCTCTTTTGCATATCTTCTGTTCTGGATGTATCTGAAGAAGGCTTTCTTATTGTGCTTTAGCATCCCTTGCCATTCTCAGCTTATTTCCTGCTTTAGTCTTCCTGATGCTATTCCTGCAATTCCTTGCTATTTGTTTATATTCTTCCTTTGTGGCCTGGCCCTGTTTCCACTCCCTGTACATGTTCTTTTTTTCCTTTCAGGCTGTCACTTAACCCTTTGTGGAGCCACGTGGGCTTCCTCCGCTGTCTTCTACACTTTTTTCTTGCTGGAATTGTTTGTAGTTATGCTTCCAGGATCTTCCTTTTCAAGATTTCCCGTCCCTTGAACACCTTTCCCCCATTTATTTACATTTATTCACTGCAAATGTAAGTCCCATTCATTTCAGTGGATGTAGTCTACAATGTTAGTGAATGCTGATTACTATGCCAAGTAGTAACCCTAATTTGTCTGCTTGATCCCCCGTCCATTGCTGTCTATTCAGTCCATCTCCACTTTTTTTGCTTATCTTGACCTGGCAAGAGACCTAGCAGTACAGCACTTCCTTCTGGGCGATTAATCCCATTTCTCTTACCATGTGTTGCCAAGGCCATCTAAATAAATTGAGGCAGCAGTTTTAGGAATTCCATTGGAAACTGATTTTCTTGTTAGAAAGTGGACTGTTCTAATGCTCAAATATTTTCATTACACTAATGAAGGTTGCAGAGATAATGCTGCTGAAAATGGACAATGCTTACAAGGTGCCAAACATCCGATGTCATGCCCATGTGTGTAAGACAAATTTGCCATCCAACACCGCTTTCCGAGGCTTTGGTTTCCCACAAGGAGGATTGTTTACTGAAGTCTGGATGACACGGATTGCAGCCAGATGTGGTTTATTACCAACACAGGTATTGCGGGCATGCCTGAGAAGAAGAATTGAATTCAAATGATTCTGAGAGTGTTAAGGAGAAATGAAAGTGTGTACACTGTTGCCTAGCCATTTTTGAGAAATAGTTTGAAGACTGGATGTAAATTCCAAGTGCCAGGGCTGGGGAATTTGCAGCCTGCCTCTCTGCTCGGAGGCACCAGCTGAGCCCACTTTGCCCTTCTCTCCCCTTGCCCAGAGCCAGCACACAGCTCAGCCAGGGTCTTCTGGCTGAGTGCAGGTTAGCAGATGTGAGTGTGTGTGTCCATGTCTGACTATCTGTGTTCATGTGTGAGTGTGTGTTGGGGTATGAGCACAAGCATGCTGGAGGTGGCGCTGACATCTCTGGAGGTGGCGCTGACATCAAGCCCCCACCACCTTGGGCTTAAGCCAGTCCAGCCCCAACCTATGGCTTTTGGCCTACTGTAAGGAAGAAGACACTGGGTCTTCTGAGGAGAAAGGAACTATTTTTATGGGTCCAGTCTGGAACTTGACACAGGGCTTTTGGGATGTGGCACCTGCCAGAAGCCTAGAGTGAGAAATCATGAATGGGAGTGCAAGACAGGCCTGAGAGAGATGGAACGAGTCTTTCACTCTGGCTGCCAGTAGGCCAAGGCCGGGCAGCACTCACTCGCAACAATGGTTTCTCTGTCAGTGACTTTTATGGTCCGCTTTGCATCATGGGACTGAAGTAGACTATCAGTTATTGCTGATAGTCCACTGAGAGCAGGCAAAATGAAAGCTTATAAGAACCCTACAGAGTGAGGAGACTAGGTCCCTAAGAGAACCAAGTGGCTCTGACAGGGTCTTAAAATAAGACCTAAGTGGAAGCCTGTATTGAAGAGGCGCTATCAGATATGTAGATATAGTTATGGCATTATATTTAATGCTAATATTGTCAGTCTAGAGCTGCTTTGGGGGCTCTGGTACATTATTACATTGTGCTTGTATAAGTGCTAATGCAGTACATGCTTTGTAATATACTCTGAGCATATTATGGAAAAGCAGGGTACATATGTGATTTAACAGCAGGACAGGTAATTGACCTAGCAGTAGAGCAGAAGACATCATATATGTGCATGATGCGTCTTCTTTTGAAAAATGGATTACATGTAATCTGCTCTGAGGAACAAAGTGTGTGCGTGTGTGTATTTGTAGAAAGAGAGAGAGAGTTTTAAATAGAATAAATAAATAGACCCTTCATCCATTTCCACACCTAAACCTAGAAATACCTCCTAAAACATTTGTCTTTATATAAATATATCCAGGCTTTCAGGGCCATTGCAAATGTGATGCTGCATGAGAGTTTATTGTAATGCTCATGTTTCAGATTAGGGAACTGAACATGTACAAAGAAAATGAGCGGACACCTTATAAACAGGAGCTGAAGCCAGAGAATCTCCTCCGATGCTGGAATAAATGCATGGAGAAGTCTGCGTATCACACCAGGAGAGCAGCTGTGGAAGAGTTCAACAAGCAAAATTACTGGAAGAAGAAAGGTCTTGCCATTATTCCCATGAAGTTCCCGGTTGGTTTTGTCACACGCTTCCTCAGTCAGGTCAGTTTGAAAATGTACAAAGTAATATTCGTACCAGCCACACTGATGGACATCACCGCATCCCCATGCTGGGTGTGCTTCTGTATATTACTCCATAGTCTGACAAGGCAGTTTCAAAGGCAGGGGATCCCTGTGAGAACAAAGAAGGTGGCAACCTCACCTAACCTTACGGCTTGGGCCACTGCACTTGCTAGGGGTCTGCATGGCACAGAGGTGGGAGCAAGGAATGTTTTTTGTGACTCTGTGTAGTTTAATGACTGCCCCATCATTAGGCTCCACAGCCAGGCACGCTTGTCTGCTCAGACCCAGAGCTCATCACAAATACCAGTGGCGTAATCGTAGACAGGAATCAGCTAATCAAAAGCAAACAGTATATTCAGATAAAATTCATGCAGGTGAAATCCATCATAATAATTAAATGATGACCATGGCAGGGAGCAGTGAACCTTTGTGCGAGCTTGGACTGGATGTTATAGTCTGCTAAGGTGAACAAAGATACCACATATGTAATACATTTCTTTTTACTCCATGGCTGAAATTCAGCAATTGAAGTATATAACTTGTCCAAAAGGAACAAAAGGAAGGCAGGGTCACACTAATGATAAGGCCCCATGGCAAGGGACCCTAATGAGAAAAGGACTCCAAGAGGCAGTTACATGAGCTTCATGTTCCTGGAGAGGAAGGAGCAAAGCAAATGCTGAAAGAAGAGGTATTTACAAGCACAATGCATCATGGGGGGCCCTGAGGAAGCATCTTCCAGAATGCACTGGGCTTAAGAATACATTTTTCGGCAACCTTTCTCCTTCCTTTTTTCCTAATGATGCTATCCCATTTTTGTTGTTGGGTACAGAGCAGGCTGAGTGGCACATGTATCTCTGCCCTCCGCTGCAACCGCTTTTCATGCTGCCCCTGGAGAACACACCATCCAAGGCAGCCTCCTCATTGGCAGACCTGTAGGAGCAACCATGGGAATATAGTCTGTGATGCAGTAGAGTGTAGAAGCACAGCTAACTCTGCCCCATAAAGGGGTGTGTGTGTGTGTGAGAGAGAGAGATTTAAATAAACCAAATCTCTGCAAAGCTAGGTAACCTGCTCTAAAACACAGCAATGCTCATTTTAACATGAAATGAGTGAAAAAGTTTGAGCTCTTCTTTCTTTGGTTTTGGTTTTTGCAGGCTGCTGCGCTGGTTCATCTGTATACTGATGGGTCTGTGCTCCTTACTTATGGTGGTGTAGAAATGGGACAAGGACTTCACACCAAAATGATCCAGGTACTGAGAATCACATGTCGATTTTGTGTATCTGTGTTTATGGCAAATAATTTACATAAGATTTATTTCGGTAGATGCTTGGTCCAGAATCTTTTCTGTCCACTTCACATAAGGAAAAGAGTGCAGAGCCTGCGTGGTTTGGTGGCCAGAGTGTAGGCCTGGATTCCCAGGAGGTCCAGGGTCTAGTCCCCACTTGGCCATGAAGTTCACTGGGTCATCCAGGGCCAAACTCTCATTCTTAGCTTAAGTACCTGGTTGCTGCTGAGTATGGCTGTGCTGCAATTCCACAACATCCTACGATTATAATGCTGTGTTTATAAATGTCCTGCAGCTGAAGAACTAGTCCAGACAGTTCAAAATGCATTTCTTTATGTATAATGCTTACATGCCATGCCTGATCAGATCAGAAGTTCTCTGTGGCACTCATAGTAAATAGAAATGCATGGAAACACACCTTGCAATTCAGCAAGGATGGATGATTGATGTGGGTAATGCATCTAAATCCTGGCATCACACGCTTTGTGCTCCCCCTTGTCCAACAAATTATTGGTGGACATCCACTGCTGAGCTTACAGTTTTATTTTAGACTAGCTGTTCAGATATAATGACGAAATCCAGAGGCATCTTGTGGGTTAATTAATTGCAGGGCCATTCGCTGTATACACTTCTCATTTCCTGGAACAACCCATGCAGCATTTGCAGGTTATTTCAGTAACTTCTGAACGGGGGTGCTTGGGGTTGTCCATGGGTTAAACCACCCAAGTTAATCTATAGATAGTTCTTGGGTTAATTTGGTGTAGCTTATCTTACCATCATTATATTTAAATAAGAGTTGAATTGTTGCTTGAATGATATTTGGATTGTTGCATATTGCTTCAAGATTGTTTAAAGTAAAAAATTCATAAATATGGTTAAATAAATAAATATACAGACCAAATGATAGGTGCACAAGAAAATAAGCTCTGACTTCTTTATGGTCATATATCGTGCTAATGTGGAGGGGCTAAAGCGTAACTCCTGTTAAAGATCTAGATGTAAAGATCTAGATCCTTGTACTTAAAACAAAATATGAATTCATTCATTCTTTCTTTATTCTAGATTGCTAGCAGAGAGCTACAAATGCCAATGTCAAATATTCACTTCTGCGAAACAAGTACAACAACAGTTCCTAATGCTTGCGGTTCAGTAGGCTCTATGGGAACTGATGTCAATGGAATGGCAGTTAAGGTAAAAGTATGATATTAGTCTTTGACATGTGATACTAATCTTCAACAAGGTTCAAAGGATCTGGCTTATTGAAATATATTCATCAGGAGTGGGGGAGTGAGTTCTCCATAACAATGACGACAATTAAGGTACTGGGTTTGTGAAAGAAAATGATAGGAAGTGGTATACAAAACTCCTATACGTGATGACCAGGGGAAAGCACCATTAGGTTCCTAAAGACAGATGCTTAGAAGCAACGCCTGTTGCTTTCAGTGGATTTTACTTTCAGTCAAGTGTGTTTAGGACTGCAACCTTAGAAAATACAACAATGGAGTTCATATCGTTGTTAGGGTAAACTTTTTATGTTGTTTATCTCTTTTTGGGAAATTATGCAACCATGTTGTGTTTTGGAGAGATGATATGTGCAGAACTAGAAAATGGAGGGTGTTTCAAACAGCCAGTGGCTCTGGTTTCTGCGGCACAAATTCAACAAGCCTGGTGAAGTCCGGCAGAAGAAGAAGGAGCCTTGGAGCCAGCGTGGAGTGGTGGTCCGAGTGCTGGACTGGGGACCAGGAGAACAGGGTTCTAGTCCCCCATCAGGCATGAAGATCTTTGGGTGACTTTGGGCCACACTCTCAGCCTAAGCCACATCATAGGGTTCTTGTTGTGAGGATAAAATGGAGGGGAAGAAAACTGTGTAAGCTGCCTTGGGCTCCATGCAGGAAAAAAAGAAAAGATTGGCTATAAATGCAATATAATAAAAATAGTAACAGTAACAATAACAATAATAATAATAGTGAGACTTGGGTTTCAAATTCAAAGCCTTCACGGAGGAGGCATTGGAGATCTACTAAAGAATTGATGGAGACCTCTAGATTTCTTGCTGAAATGACTCTTGCCTATGCAATGGACTAAGGCAGCTTTTCCCAACAGATGGGCCACATCTCCCATCAGTCCCAGCCACTGTGGCCAATGGATAGGCATGGTGGGAGTTGTAGTCCAACACACCTAGAGGGCACCGGGCTGAGAGAGGTGAATGAATGCACAGTAACCTCTGTGGTATGCGTAAAACAGCAGTATGAAAAAAGAATCTTTAAAATCTTTTGTATAGCAGCTTTGCATTTCTTTCCTCTGTTCTTCCTCATTTCATCAGGATGCTTGCCAGACTCTTCTGAAACGTCTTGAACCCATCATTAGTCAGAACCCCAAGGGCACCTGGAAAGAATGGGTAAGAGGCATTCTTTGGATCACATGAATAAAATCAATATTTGAACCATTTTAAGGGCCAGGGTTTTTTATTGTGGAATATTCCTTACCCAGGAACTATTATTTTAACCTGCCTGTCCTGCTATGATAGAAATGGGCAGCTTATGTTTGAAGAATGGCTGAAGAGCCCTGGAATTGGCTCTTTATGGAAAGACTTTGGCATTTCTTTCATACTTTCTTTCATCTGTCTTCTTCTGCAAGTTGCCTGTTCCATACAGGTTGGCCATGTTTACATCTGGATGTGTACAAGAAGTTGTGTATGCACTGGTATGTAGGGAATTGTTTTCTTTCTGGCCGCTCCCTGAATAGATGGGCTAAGTGCTTCCCACACACTGCTCCCTGCAGCTCCTCTCAAGCATTAAATACACACACAGCAGGGGGAATGGGACTGTACCTGCCCACCTCCACAGCTTCGTTATAAGATATAAAAGAGGCCCTGGGATCAACTGTACACTTCACTGAAATCCTCCATGCAAGTGACATCTCAAGTGAGCTTATGGTTCTAAGCCAAGCACAACTCACAACAAGTAAAGGGCTTGGCACACAGGATCATCATGGCACTGGGCTAGGCTTTTAGCAAACTGTGAGAAACTTTAGACATGCATACAAATACTTGGAATAACTCAGGGCGCAATTATTCAAATTACAATTTGAAAAAAAACTGAGCTGGAGTACTGTGTGTTAGGAGGAGCTATTCATAATGACTAATTATTCCATAAGTGGCTGATGTCAGCCAGCTTCTCAAAAGCGTTGAGAATAAATTCAGTGCTTGTGGAAGTCCAAAAGACTTTTTCAATTTAGGATGCTTCCAGATGTGCCACCATCCTGCCTTGCTCTTGGAATTTTACATGGGGTCTGGACAACAACGTCATTCATTTGTAATCCTTGCATGTTTTCCATCACTTTTACCAGCTTTATTTTTTTTCCTAACTAGAGAAATATCTGTTAAAGAGGAAAAGAACAACTACAGAATGTCTTTTGATTGGCAGTTGTTGTGGTCTCATGTCTGGAAGCTCCCCTGGTTGTACTTAAAAAATTCTGCTTATCAGGCAGTCATTTTGACAGAAGTCATGTTGGATTTTTATTTTAAAATTTCCAGAACTGTCCTGTTGACTTTTTTCTTGAATGCAGTAAGCAACCAAGATACCTCGTCCCTGTGCAGACCATAACATTTCCAATTCCTTAACTGTCATTAAGAAATAAGGCACCCTTCTACAGCAGTATTGTGTATGGTGTGACTGGGATGAAGTAGTGGTACGATGTCTTTTGGTATTGGCCACGTTAGCTAATAGGAATTCCTTGGTCGAGAGACAGTCTTCTTTGACATGCCAGTTGTTTGCAGGGGGGGACAAATTAGGACATTTGCCTTCACGCTCATCTGTAGACTTCCCAGAAGCTTCTGGCTACCTATTGCTGGAAGCAGGATGCCAGGTCTGTTCCTAAGACTATTTCCTATTTGAATCTGTCATTAGTTCCAAGAAAAAGAGTTTGCGGGGAAGGAAGTGCCCAGTCTTGCAACTCACTCTCAGCTACTTTCTACCTACTTTTAAGCACTTAACTTCTTCAGCAACTGACTACTCTTAAGTCCTTAATTCCTCCCCATATCACTTATGTCATGCCCATATCCAACACAAAATCATACATGTATTATTGTTTCCTTCTATATACACACAAACAAATGTTGCTTCCATGGGCGTGTCCACTAACATTTAGTGCAGAGCTCTTGATCCTTGCAATACCTGAGATGCTATATTGGTAGGCTACTTCATGTAGATAAGCACAAAACTCTTAGGTAATCATAGAAGAGATAGGATCCAAGTAAAGGGACTGCCAGCTCAGGAACAGTTGGCAGATCCTGGCTTTCACAAATTGCTTTACTTGATAAGCTTGATAAGTTTCCAACATAATAAGTTTCCAACAGTTTTCCAAACATCGTTAGGTGGAAAGTTGAAAATACATACTTAAAGTAAGAAGGTGGCCACCAAATGTATCTATTCACCATCGGACTGGTCAGTTATTACAAAAAGGAAATGATAGGTTATTTGTTGAAGGCACTTGTACATGGTTGAGAGTTACCTATGAGGGGATTAGTTTTCTTTGGAAACTTTGCTAGCATAGGTTGGTAAATACCTGCATTTACCAGTTAAGATCATATTTAGTCCCTTTTGAAGGGTACATGGCAATTCTTGAAGGTTACCAATTCTGACATTCCCCCTAACCTTCTTGGATACTAATAGCTATTAGTAAATAGCAACACTGGCAAGATTCTGACATTTACCAAAATCTGTGTATGTGTGTTTAATTTCATTGGCTAGTTTCACATTGTTAATGTGGCAAACTGTTGCATGCCATCAAGTCATCTCCAACTTAGGCAACCCTATGAATGAAAGCCTTCTAAAATCAATCCATCTCATAGTTGGTCTTCATCTCCTTCATCAACCTGTGATTTTCTCCAGCATTATTGCCTTCTCCATTGAGTCTTGCCTTTTCATAATGTGTCCATAGTATGACAGCTTCAGTTCTATCATGTTTTATCCCAGGGAAAGTTCTGGCTTGATTTGCTCTAGGACCCATCTTTCTGTCAGCCCAACGTATTCATAAAGCTCTCCAAGTTTCAAACACATCCATTTTCTTTCTGTCAGCTTCCATCACTGTCCATCTTCTGCACCCTACACAGTGATTAGGAATACAACAGTGTGGATGATCCTGACTTTGATCTCCTGTGAAACATCCTTATACTTGATAATCTTTTCTAGTTCCTTCATTGCTGCCCTTCCCAGTCTCAGACTGGAATTTCTAGGCTGCAGTCTCTGTTTGAATTGATGTTGAGCTATGGTATGCAAAATCCTTCACAATTTCAATTTCTTTATTGTTGTCATTAAAGTTGTGTAATTCTGTTATGGGACTCCAAGCTCATTTTCTGATGAAGTTGATGCCCCCTCCAGTTCAGATCTGGAGAACTTTACAAAATAAAATACCACACAAAATTTTTAACAGGAAGCCTGGATTAGATTTAAAATACTTCAAGGTGAAAAGGAGTGAGGAGGTCTCACAATACCTATTGTAAAGCTTTATTATTACAAACCTGGGCTGGCTTGAATTTCAGTCTGGATTATAAATATTAATGATAGGTTAGTGAAGTCAGAAATAGTAGATCTTGGAGAAGGTATACACAATCACAAGAGTCAGTTAAAAAGGTCTTGACATCAAATCATATTCATGTATTAAGAGATGGCTTAATAAAAAAAATGGTATTCTACAAGAAAAAGAATCAGCAAACCTATTTCTCCTCTGATGTCCCTGGTTGAAGCATATGGAAAATATTTAAGGAAAAATAATGACTTTATAACCTATGGGGATATGATTGATCAACCTGGATGAGTTAAATCTTGGCAGCAACTAAAAGTTGAAGGGGAAAATATACAATGGCCTGTTTACTACTAATTGTTTTCAAGCTTGAAAGGGAAAATCCAGTGAGGGAAAGGCACTGTAAGAGACCTGTCCTGATTTTGAAAAGCTATTATACAACAAAAGACTTTATAAGCAATTACTTCAACAATAAAACCTTTTTATTTAAACAGTATTTTAAATTTAACAGCTTTTAAGTTTAGTCGCTCTGTTTGTTTTGTGATTTATTGTTTTGTTCTGTTTTATTTTTATTGAAATTGTTGTTTTAATTGCCTTTTTAAATATTGTAAGCCATCCTGAGATCTTGTATAATAGGATGGCATACAAAAGCTTTTAATAAACAAACAAACTTGACACTGGAAATCAGCAAGATGAGAAATGTATGACAATTTGGATGCAAAACCTTGGAGAAGAAATGCCACCCCATTAATGAGAAGCTTTATGGAAGAAAGGTATTACATTCATAGCTAGTCAAGCACTAAGAGAAAATTGGTATAAGATTTTTTCAGTGGTACATTAGCCCAAAAGATATAGAAAAAATAGATAAAAACTACAATGGAAATGTGATGAGGTAGATGGGACTCTCTTCTCTACGCAGTGGACTTGTGACATAATTAAAAGATGTTGGAAGTTGATACATGTGGAAAAACAAAAATCTTTAGAACAAAGATTCCTATGAATCCTAAGAATATGCTTTTGAACATAATGCCGTAGACTCTTTCAAAGAACATGTAAGAGTTATTCCAGTACATGATAACTGCAACAAGAATCACAGTTGCTTCTAAATGGAAAACACCAGAATGCCCATTAGTTGGAAAAATAAGTTGGCTGAGTGTGCAGTGATGGCAAAATTAACTAATTATGTAAGCAGAAAAATGATTGAAGAATTTAATGAGAAATGGAAATTCTATTATATCCAGTATAAGTAATATGATATAGAAGGAAGCTTTTTAAAATGATGTTGATGATTTATAATTGATTTGAAATGATTGAAAAAATTGTCAGTATACAGAATCATACTTTTTTAAATTGAGCTTCAATATACTATTAATTGACAAAAAGACAGAAATTTTTGGTCTGGAAATTTGCATGTTATGAATGTATAGGTTGTTTAAGTTCCCTTGGCAATTCTATTTCATTTTTTTCTTACATTCTTCTTTCTGAACCTTATCTATTTTAAGAAAACAAATTTAAAAATTTAAAAAAATTCTAAGAAGCTTTATCTTGCATGCAAGAGATCAATACCATTAAGAGGTAATAACAAAAACAGTGTGAAATATAACACTGTTTATACACTTTTGGCACACCTTTATCCAGACTGGATAACAGTTTACAGATGTGACATACTTCTTTTGCTTATTTAGGGTTAAAAAGGATTTTTATATTCTTGTTTTGGAACACAAGGAGCATATACATTTCCAGTTGAACTTAAGGAATAATTATACTTCCTGATTGCTGTTTCACCTTTATGAACAAGGACGCTTTATAACTTTTTCAACTACTGTGCAGACTGACAATTTACATTCCTTAACATTTTCTCTGTCCATTCTTAAA